ATCTAACATTGGAGCTTTCGAAATTACGAGACCTTGTTTTTTTAGATGGATTTACAAACTCATTGCTGAAGAGTCCACCCAGTTTAATAAACTAAATAAAATAATTGTATTAAATTACCTTATTTATTTAATTAAACGCGGATTTGAAAAAGTGCCCTGCTTAGAATATATGCCTCCTCAAATAAACGCTCCAAGCTTATATTTTTTTCTTTGAAATGAATTCCTAAATGAATTTTTAACACATTCTATTAAAAAGAATATAAAAGCAGTAGAACATTTAAACATTTTAAATACAGTACAGACAAAATGAGACTAAACAATTTATGTCATAATAGTAAAAAAATGCGAAATAATAATAATAAACATTAAAAGTGGGAAAAAGAGCCCATGGCAATATTTGATTTGCCTATCGGGACAATTTCAAGACGATTTAGAAAATTATGAACTGCGGCCCGCGCCTGGTGGCACTTCTAGTCTTGGCATTGATTTCGCTCCTTTGCTATTTTTGTCTATGCCGTTTTGGTTCATTGCCATTTTGGTTATTGCCTTTTTCGTCATTGCCGTTTTGTCCTGCTACCAATTATGTGTTTCGCATTACAGTGAAACTATCCAACATTATCAGGCGTTTATTTGAGTAAAGGTATCCATTTTACTAACAAAAAAATAATAGCCTCCCACAAATAAATGCCTCTCTCGAATAAACACCCCCTCAAAAACCCTTCTCAACAATAAATGGCCAGGGGTGTTTATTTGAATAAATACGGTAATACTAATGTATGGTTCTTAGCATACCATATTTTCAATTTCAATTCTCCTATTCTCACGTTGCCTTCTTAATGCTGAATGACTTAATCTTGCTTGGTGATTTCCATTAAAGCTGGTGGCAGATTGAGAAGGAAATGGCCTCCTTGATTTTGATTTCACTCCTGTATTCTGAAGTTCTACGCCAGATTTGTTCATGATCTGTTGCAAGAGCCTTTGATTTTCTCTGTCAATCTGTCGAACACGATCATTACTAAAGGACATATTCATTCTCTTGTGTGGCAAGCTTTTTGTTGATAAATTGCTTTTGGCAGACGTTGGCCTAGAACTTTGTGTGTGTGGCATCTGTACTAGTGACTTTGGTGTTTTATCCATTTCTAATACAGCTTTCAACAGCATACTAAGTTCCTGGGCCTCAGATTCATTCCATCCAGGTGGAGCTCCGAGTACATTTGGTGTATTTATGCCTACGCCTAGGCCTACACCTTCAAATCTTACACTCTCCTTCTTTGATTTCTTTGTACTTCCATCACTATGATGCCTGAATTTTGTCTTCTTAGAACCACCCTTTTCTTGAACTTTCTTATAATCGCTAGAAAAATCCTTCAAATTATCTGGTAAATTTGGGCTTTGCAATGGAGAGACATCGGTTACACTACCGGAATCTGTA